TTTACCTGGGGCCTGCTCTGTGCCAAGACCTGGCCTGGGGACAGGGGCACCTAGGAAAGGATCCAGGCCCTACTGGCCCATCGGGAACCAGCAGCCAGCAGTAGGCAGTAGAGTGGGACAACCAGACCTGTGCGCCCCTTCCCACTCAGCATTGGTGCCACCTCCCAGGTGCATTTGAGCCCCAGCAAAACATCCAGCAACAGAAGCGTTAGAGCCCAATTCACAGGGAGGGCTGCGAAGAGCTGGCCGTGCCGGGTGATTGATAGGTGGGAAAGCACACATTTTTCATTCCTTGCAAACATTCAATGGCCCCCCAAGAGCAGCCTGGATTCTTGAGGCCCAGAGACGCCAGGGGTAGGGCAGGACTGTGCTGAAGCCTAGGTGTGGGGGTCCAGAGTGGGGGAGTGTCCTGGTTCTGCATGAGGGTGGGGGCAGCCCTATAGTGTCTGGGGCTTGGGGAGACTCAGCCATTGACCTGTGGGGGGAAAAGGAGAAGGAGACCTGTCACCTGAGCTATGCCCCCACCTTGCTGGGCAACCCTGGGCAACCCCAGGCAAACCCCAGCACCTCTCTGGGTCCAGATAGCTCAGGGCAGAATGGGGGGTTTGACCTAGATGACCCTCAGGCCCCGTTCACTCATTCACCCATTCGTTCATACCTCAGTCATTTGGACTGAACACCTCTAGTACCAGACCCCCCTCCCCACACCAGCTGCTGGGGACAGCAGCCCTGCCCTCGGCAGCTCACCCTCTCCTGGGGGTGACTTCAGTGTGTTTGCCTTGCTGGCCAGGGCTGGGGGTGCCCAGTGCTAAGGGGCCTGAGGACCTGGAGGTCGGGGGTCCTTTGGGAGACAGGGATCCTGGGCGAGGGCTGCGGCCTGAGTGAGGGCGTGGGAGGAGTGGGCTCAGTGTGCGGGGCAGGAGGGAGGGGAGGACGGCTCTGCGGGTCACCACCCCAGCACTAGCGGGAAGCCAGATGTTTTCCAGAGGATTTGGGGGGTGAGATGCACACCTGCTCTGTGTCCCCCACCATCCCTGTCCCTGGTTGGCCATTGGGGAGGACATGTGTGTGCTTCCTGGACACTTGCATGGGGAGGGTAAGGCTCACAGTCCAGCGCTGCCTGCTGCTGTGGTGGGTGGGCCTGGCATGTGGCCTGCTTCCTTTCTCAGCCCCTGATCTGGCCACATGGCTTTTCTGATGCCCCCACCCAGCTCTGCTTGGCCACCTGCCCTTGACCAGCGGCACCAGTGCCCCGTGGACCCCCCACCTCTGCTGTCCCCTCTGGCCGGTGCTGGTGCGCTCAGCACCACGGACAGCGGCAGCGCCATCACTGCGCGCCAAGCCCTCCCTGGGACCTTATTTGGGCAGTTTCTTCGTGACTGTTGACTGTCTCCTCTCCTGACTTTATTTCCCCTCAGACAGGGACTGAGACCCAGGTTTGCCTGATGTCTGGTGTCCAGCGCAGTATGTGGTCCAGTGACTCTCAGGGCATACTTACTGAGAGGAGAATAAACGACCTAATGGGGCCAGTACAAAATATCTGCCCTCTTTTAAGATGTGGGAGCAGGGCCGAGCCTGTGGCGCAGTCGGGAGGGTGCAGCTCTGGGAGCGCAGCGACGCTCCCACCGCGGGTTCGGATCCTATATAGGACTGGCCGGTGTGCTCACTGGCTGAGCGCGGCGTGGGCAACACCACACCAAGGGTTGTGATCCCCTTACCGGTCGTGAAAAAGACAAAAAAAAAAAGATGTGGGAGCAGCTCAGGGGTTGAGGCACAGGGACAGGGCCTGTCTGAGTCTGTGACTCTGTCCCCCCCTCCCCCGGCTCTGCTGCTCTCGGGCAGGAGGGGGAAGATGGGGAGTGAGGCAGAGGCCTGTGCATGATGGGGCTGGGGGCTGCACTGTGTGAGTCTGGAAGGCCCCATTCTCTGGCCCCATCTCCTGTCTCCAGCACATGTGGCCCTGCCATTGTGTGGTTCCTAGAGACTCCTCTTGAACCCCGAGACTGCAGCCAGGGGTTGCCACAGCTCCCCGGTTCCCAGTGCCCACAGCTCAGCTGTTCAGGAAGAGCCCCTGCCCCACCCCCGGCCCCGGCCCCGGCCTCTCTGCATCCTGCTGGCATCTGCGCATCTGTCCCAATCCAAAGGTCTCGTCGGCAGCATCCATTTAAGTGCCATATGGCTGAGGCTCAGCCCGCAGAAGAGGGGACATGGGGTTGGGCCCCTGGGGCTGGGGGGCAGGAAGACGGGGTGGGCTTCTTCTGCTCCCAGCCCTGGGGGTGAGGAGACCTGGCCAGGAGACAGCCAGGGCCTGGAGGGGCTGGGGGTGGGGTGGCGGGGAGCGGGAAACGCCCTGGCCCGGGCCTGCAAGATACCATGGAAACCCCCATGTTCCCTCCTCCCACCCCCTCCCCCAAAGCCATTCAACTGTAGGTGCCACATGCCATCTGCTGAGGCAGGCAGAGGCCAGAGTGGCTCTTCACAGGACCCAGGGAGCCATGCATCCCCATGTTCCCTGCCAGAGTCTGTCACCCAGACCTCTGGGAAGGACTATTGAATTGCACAAAATCCCTGGAACCCCAAGGTCGGCTTGCAGGGTGGGAGCTGAGAGTTGGCCCATTTACCAGTGAGGGGACTGTGGCTGAGGAGGCACGGCCTGCACCAGGCGGGCAGGAAAGGTGTGGCCCGGCCCAGCTGGCTCTCAGGACAGGGTCCTCTAAGTCCTGTGCTATATGACCCACCCAGCCATTGTTGGGGCCCCTGTGGCTGGGCCCTGGGGGTGTGACAGGTATCGTGGGTGGTGCAGGAGGTCAGGGAAGCAGTTAGTGAAGAGTGGGTAGGTGCCAGGTGGGGTCAGGTGGCTGCTGAGTGTCTGTGGGGCTGGGAGGAAGAGAGTGGAGCTGGGCCTGGAGGGCAGGTGGAGTTTTGATCTGGGCGGGCTGACGGGTGTGTGTGGTGGGGTGTGGGGCACTGGGCTTCCCTCCCAAGGCCAAGGCTCCTGCCCCCCTGTGGCCTGCCCCTCCCCTCCCAGGGGCTCAGGCTGATTTCCCCGGCAGGTGACAGAATGTACGAGAGGCACCTCGAGGAGCCACACTCTCCTTGAGGTTTGCTTCTGGACCTGCAGCCCTGGATGTGGGCAGAGTGTGTGTGGGGAGGCGGGGTCGGGGAGGGACAGGGGAATGATCATACATAGTCCTGACCTTGGGGACACATGGGGGAATGGGAGTGGACGGAGGCCCTTCTGGTGAGAAGACTCTGGCACTGCGGGGCTGCCCCAGGACCACCACCATCACCAGGACGTGACACTGCATATAGGAACTGTCCTTGGGGCAGTTAGGAGGTGGGGGTCTCACTGACAGAGCTTGAGCCCTGGGTTTCCAGGTCCTCACTGTTGGAAGTTTGCCCGTCTGGAGGGGGGACAGCTCACCTGTCCTCACACTCATCCACTCATTCAGCCAGCACTTGTGAAAGGTGTCGGCGCCAGGCCCTGGTGTGGGCACAGGGACACGTCAGCGGACAAGCTGCGGCCTCCATGCGCAGGTGTGAATGTCCTGCTGGGGCAGCACAGGCAGCCCAGTGAGCATCGTGGTCGGGAGTGGAGCCGTGCGGGAGGGGCTCAGCTCTGCCGCCGCGACGCTGCGTCACGGGCTGGGTGGCCTCGACACCAGACGGTCATTCTCATGGTCTGGAGATCAGGGCCAGCAGGGCCGGTTCTGTCAAGGGCCTCTTCGTGTTGCAGACAGTCAGCTCACCGCATCCTCGAGTGAGCAAGAGGTCTAGAGGGCTCTCTGGGGCACTGGTCCCATCACGAGGGCCCTGTCCTCATGCCTAATCGCCTCCCAAAGGCCCCACCTCCTGATTCATCACTTGGGGGTCAGGATTTCAGCGTATGAATTTGCGGGGATGTAGCATTCAGACCACAGCAGGGGTGGGCATGAGGCTGGCTGTGATTTTAAACAGGGTGCTCTGGGTGGGCATCATTAAGAAGAGGGTGACATTAGAGGCAACACAGGAGCTGGCCGGTATCCAAGGGAAAAGCATTCCAGGCGGAGGGAACAGAGTGGTGCACATACTGGAGGTGGGCATGGCCTGGCAGAGCCCACGGCAGGGACCCGCATGTGCTGGGCCCAGAGCAGGAGAGGGAGGGAGCCGGGGTCATGGAGAGGTGGACGGAGCTGCTCAGAGTCTGAGGCCCATTTTTGGAGAATGATGGGGCTTGAGGGGGCAGCCGGAGGCTGTAGCAAATCCAGGGGAAAAGGGTGGTGGCTTGGAGTGGGGTGGCCTGGAGGTGATGCCAGATGACCCAAAGGGAGGAGCCAAGGACAGTCCCAGTTGTGTGTGGCTTTGAAGGCAGGTGGGGGTGGTGCCCCTAAGAGCAGGACAGCATGGGTGGGCTAGGCAGGGCCTGTGGGAGCTGCAGGTGCACTCGGGGCTGCCGCTGCGGGAGTTGTCTGCACGGGTGCATGGTTGCTGCAGGGAGGGTGGGTGGGCAGGGCTGGAGCACAGGGCAGTGGCCTGCGTTGAGGGTGATGGGCAGTGAGGCCTGCGTGGAGCCTGACCAGGGCCAGGAGAGTCCACAGACCGCTGCTCGCCTCTTACGGCCTCTGTTTTCTCCTCTGTGAAATGGAGCCTCCTCCAGGCGGCGAGGACCAGCTCCTTGTTCCCCCATGTGGGCAGGAGGGCGCGGGGGTGCTGCTTTCCTGGAAGCCGCCAGGCCTAGAACCCCTGGCCCCACCCTGGCTCCCCTGGCTGCTCCCTGCTCCTAGTCAGACCGCATCTGAACCCCACTTTCTCACATGCAGAGTGTCGGGTGAGCACCTGCTGCCCCCCACCCTGCGGAGCCTACCGGGCACAGAGCTGGGAGTTGATGGAGGCTGTTGCTTTGCAGGTGGATGCCGTCACCTGGCCCACGGTGGGCCAGAGAGAGCTTCGCCCCTGCCTGCTGCCCTGCCCTGTGCTGACGCCACCCACCTCTGCACCGGGCCCCCCAATAAACTGCTGCCACATAGCCAGCCATGTGCCTGCCTGCATCTGTCCGGGACCCCATGAGACGGAGCCTGGGGGGGTCTGGGCCAGGAGGTGGGTACTGGGCCGGCACTCAGACGCACGGCCAGATGGCGAGGAGGGGGGCTTGTGCGTCCCCTGGGGAAACCTGTTGGGGGAGTGTAGGGAGGAACTGGAGCTGTGGGGAGCGTGGGTGTGTGCATGTGTGTGTAAATGTGTGTGACTGTGTGTGTGTGTGAGTGTGTGAGAGTGTGCATGTGTGTGTGGCTGTGTGTAACTGTGTGTGTATAAATGTATGTGACCACGTGAGAGTGTGCATGTGGGTGACTGTGAGGATGACTGTGTATGCTTGTGTGTGTGTGTGTGTGTGTGTGTGTGTGTGCGTGCATGTGAGCGTGTATGAGTGTGACCGTACAAACGTGTGACCAGGTGGGTTGGTGGTGGCATAGTGTGACACTCGCGGTGGGGGTGGCCCAGGGCAGCTGCCCCCTGCTGGCGCTGCCCCCAGCCCTCTGCCCTGCCAAGAGGAGCTTCCCTAGAGGAGGAGGCAGCCTGTGCAGGGGCCCAGCCTGAGTGCCACCCTGGGCCCTGCAGGCCTTGATGGGGGAAAGGGGGTCCTGCCTCTTCTTCCCTGAGGGCCTAGGACAAGCCCTCACTCCTGGGACCTCAGTTTCCCCTCTGCAAACAAAGGGGGTTAGATGCAGCTCTCCAAGGCCCTTGCTGCTCCTAGGTCAGAGCTTCTCTGCTTCCTGCCCCTCAGCCTGCATGCCAGGGCTATGGAGAAGGGGGTCTGGGTGGGGAAGAGGCTGCCCTAGGGCTCTCCTACACCTGTCCCCAGAAGTGAGGGGGTGGGGCACCCATAAACTGGAGGAGGCCATAGGGGCCTGACCGCTCCCGCACTCCATGGCATTGAGGGCACCAGGCGGGCCTCATGCTCAGGGTATGGCGTCTCCCCACAGCTGCCAAACTTGCATAGCACAAGGCACAGCTCTCTGGGGCCCCCTTCGCCTTTCCCAAGCTCCAATTTGGGGCTCAGGACCATGGGGTGGTGCTGCCCTCCAGACCCCACAGGGTGGCAGAGTCCACGGCCGCGGGAGACAGTAGCTGCCCTGCAAGGCACAGTCATGAAGTGTCTGCGGGATGCTGCTTCCTGCCCGGGCAGACAGGAGCAGATGGCGCCACCCCCAGTCCCCAAATCTTCTGCTGAGAAGGGTCTAAATCCAGGCTGCTATGTCCCAAAGACTGTGCTTCAGGGTTTACAGCTTCCATAACTCTGAGTTTCTTGACTATTTTCTTCCCCAGGGGCCCGAGAAAGTCAACACCATTGAGGTGGCAGTTGTGGTGCGGGGACAGGTGGGGGGGACCGGGAAGGCGCCCCTGCCCCCAGGCTGGAGCTGTGGCCACCTTCTCAGGTTTGCTGCAGCCTGTGAAGCCCACACCCTGGGGGTGTCCGGAGGAGGTGTTGGGGAGCAAATTAGATTTTGCACCTCCTGGCTGCAGGTGTGAAGAGCCAGGCACTCGGGCAGTGCAGGGGCGGTGGGGGACATGCACCTGCCTCTTGGTGCCGGGCAGCCCAGTGCTGCCAGTGGGTCTGAGTGGCCGGCAGCTGCTGGGAGGCTCATGATGAGCCTGGGGGCTCTTCCAGGGCACAGAGCATGCTGGGAGGTGGAGACAGATGGGCAAGTGACGACTGTCTGACTCTCCTTACACAGCTGGGAGCCCAAGTCTCGAGGGCAGGTGACTCAGGGTCCTGCAAGTGCAGGTGGCTGGGCAGGAGTCATCGTCCACATTTTAGAGATGAGGAAATGGAGCCCAGACAGAGAGGGGCTTGTCTGCAGGGAGATGGGCATGGATGAGGGGAGAGGCCAGGGGCTCTGCTGTGCTCCCTGTGAACCGTGTGACCTTGGAGAGTCTGGGGTACACCGTGGGATACATGGGGTCCCTCCCTGGCCTGCCGCCCTGCCCAGCCCCCACTGACTCCGGTCGCCCCGAGCCCCCGCCCTGTCAGTGCCTTGCCGGGGTGGGTCCCAGGGTGGGGGGAGCAGGTGTTTGGGGTGAGTTCAGGCAGAGGGCACAGGGTGGGGGGCATGCCGGGATAGTGCTGATGTCGGCAGCATCTGCCACTACCTGGCCGCACTCGGCACACCCCCACTCAGGACAAAAGTGTCAGAATGACCTTCACTGTCTGGGGCAGCAGGAGGCTGAGAGCTGTGCCACTGTCCCAGCCGAGCAGCCCCAGCCAGAGAGAGGACCACGTGGCAGGCGCCCATCTGTGCAGGGACAGGACAAGACAGGATGCGGGGTTGATGTGCCAAGCAGCAGCCACAACGGCACCTCGGGGAACCTGCAGGTCAGGGCGGAGAGGAGCCTTGGCCACTACCTTCCCCATTCCTCCTCCTCCTCCTCGAGCAGCCGAGGACCGGTGAGGGCCCGGGCTTCTCGGAGGCCACGCAGCGCTCAGTGGCAGAGCTGAAGTTAGATCCTCGTTCTCAAGCCAGACACCATCTGTGGGAACACAAAGGTCGGAATGTTGAACTCTCCGGTGTGGATGGTGGCGCGATAGAAAGAGCGGGGCTTTGGCACATGACAGGTGGACACGCTGCATCTCGAGGTGGGTGCCCAGGAGTCCACGGCCCGTCTCCCTCCCTGTCTCCCGTCTCCATTGTTGACCTTCTCTCCCTGCCCTCCTGTCTGGCTGTCTCCGGGGCCACACATCTCTGAGCCACAGCGTCCTCATCTGTGAAGTGGGAGGTGCCCCATGAGGGTGACATTGAGACTCTGGTGCCCTCCTTGATGTGGAAGCCTGTGAGGAGCCACAGGCTGGAGCTGGGTGGGTGCTGGGGCGGGGACGTTCTCACAGGAGGCAGGAGAGCTTGAGAGGAGGCAAGTGCCAGGTGGGACCAGAGGCTGGGATCCGGGGAACCGCCCCTCGGATGCACGTGGAAAGTGCAGGTTCCCAGGGCCTGAGAATCCAGGGGATTTATGCACAGTTGGATTGACAACCAGGCCTGGGGGGCTGGAGTGGTGCTGGGGCCCCTCAGTACTGCTGCTCCTCAAGCCCTGTCCTTCCCTCCCACCCTCAGACTCCCTCCTGGGAGGTCTTGCCCCTCCCTGACCTCAGTCACGAGGCACACACTAGTGAGGACCTTCTGGTCTGCTCTCGGGGCAGCCCAGTCCTGTCTCCCCAGACCCCTTCCTCCCAGGCGCATTGCAAGGGTCTGAGCACACCTCCTCCCCTGCCGAGCTCCCAAGCCTGCCCCTCCCTGCAATGTGCTCTCTGTGCTGCTGAGTGACATTAGCATGGTGCCCTCCACCAAGGGCCTATAAGTCACTCACTCAGGACAGCTCCCTCTGCCGCCCCTCATCCCACCTCCCAAGGAATTCCCCAGCCCCCTCTGGGTTCTACCTTACTGACTCAGTTTCTTCCCTCCCTCCATGGCCACAGCCCCATCCAGGTACTGCCTTCTCTTACCTGCTGCGAAGCTGACCACACCCGCCTCCCTCCTCTGACCTGCGCAGCCGACCACACCCGCCTCCCTCCTCTGACCTGCGCAGCCGACCACAACCGCCTCCCTCCTCTGACCTGCGCAGCCGACCACACCTGCCTCCCTCCTCCGACCTGCGCAGCCGACCACACCCGCCTGCCTCCTCTGACCTGCACCAGCTAACTGATGGCACAAGCCTCCCCACAGGCATTCCAGGGCTCGGCTTCTCCTTTTCCAGCCCAACCTCTGCATCCGCACTGTGATGGGCCATTGTAAAAGAGCAAGGCTTTGGTTACAGCCCATTTATTGCGAACAACAGAAAGTCATTCTGGCTAACAAAGTAAAAAGGAAATTTATCAGAAGGCTATGGGAGAGCCCGTAGGATTGAGAGCTAGGTTAATGCATGAATCAGATCCAACCATGTTCAGTCCCATATCACTTTAATCGAGATTCAAATCCCAAGGAAGAGGACCTGCTTGTCCTTAGGTCACTGGCCCACTGTGTGGCCAGCAGAGGCCAGGCACTTGGCTGACCACCCCACTCAGGCTGCATCCAGTGAGGGAGGGATGGGTGTTAGGCCCAGATCACCAATGTGCACCCACTACGGTCTGCCCGACACCTACATACCCTCATCTCCCAACAGGGACACCATCCAACAGATACAATTTCAATGACGGCTCCGCTTAACATCATGCAACTCTTTGGCAATAGCCCAACCAAACCCAAAACATAAAAAGCACCTTCCCTTTCCCTAAGGGAATGCAGCCCCAAGTTTAATTCCTGTACTCTAGCTCGTAATCTGACATTTTTTATTGCTCAGTGCCAGACCATCACAGTATTCTGCAACTTATGGTCTAAGTAACACAGCCTGTTGGTGTGATCCTGGGGATGGAGAACTGGGAGTAGAAAAAATGGAGAGAATTTGTTGCATCTGCAGCAGAGAAAGGACACACAAGTCACAGTTTCTGTTGCAGTTATTACAGCTGTGTAACAAACATCCCAAATGTAGTGGATTCAGACAATGACGATGCTTGTCTGCTGCCACCTCTGTGCACTTCTGGTAGGCCCTGTAGGGACAGCTCATCTGTGCTCCATGAGGCTCAACGGCCAGGGCTGAGGTCATCCGAAGCTTGCTCAGTTGCATGCCTGCTGGTTGGTGCCAGATGTTAGCTGGGGCTGTGGTGGCGACACCCACATGTGCCTGTCTGCATGGACTGGTCTCCTCATAACATGGTGGCTGGCTCGCAGAGAGCTGGGCAGAAGCCACATCCTTTATACGAGCTCACCCCAGAAGTCACATGTGTCACTGCTATCTCTGTACTCTCTGATTGAAGAATTCACAGCCCCCCTCCCGGTTCCAGGGGAGGGGAAAGAGATGCCACGTGTTGGGGGAGAGGGACAAGGCTACCATTTCTGGGAGATGCAATCTGCCGCTGCCCCTTTCCTTAAACTCAGCTCTTGGAAGTTCTTTCACTAATGGCATGA